GGCTTCAATAGAGTCTGTGTAACCTCTAGGTCCTATATCGGCGATGCCCCTTTGTTGGGCGTTTGTTGTTGTTGAGCTCTGACGGTGCAACGCAACCTGTACCAGGCAGTTCCAAGACAATGTGGCACGCACTTGGATCCAAGTTCCTGAATCTAGTTTACGAAATTCAATTTCACATTGGCATGGCCGTCCGTCCAAGGAGAATACTTGGGTAGTCAGTGAGCCTCCAAGCCCACAAGTCATGAGGAGGATTTACTTGAGCGGGATACATGGTGCTTGTATTTTGAAACCATAGTCAAGTTGGGCAGCGGGGGCAGTCTGCGCTTGTTGTTGTCACTGTACGTAGTCTGTCTAGGTATTCCAAAATATGTTTGGGGACCTTTTCGCCGGAACATGTAGCCGTCAGCCTACCAAAGGATGCGAGGCAATGTATTCATCGCAGCACTCGACCGAATACAAGGTGCAGGCATGCACATGATGACTAGAATCCCCCGTGATTGGCACTTACTATTTTTTTGTATACCAACCTCGCGCACGAATAACCTCAATCGCCCTCGTAGTAAATATCTCGAGTCATGTCAGAAAACAAGAGCAAAATCAGACGTCTACTGAAATCCTCGCAGCAGCATTGCTAGTAGCTTATGTTCTACGCGACATTCAGACAAGATGACCTATAGAGGCGTGTCGGTGCCTACTACATGGCCAACTCCGAAACGCCACGCACCTCCATCACTGTCAATAATTAGCATTTGAAGCTGCTACTTTCTTTAACAACAGCAATCTTTTCTATTGCCTTTTATTTACGTGTCCATTCGCTGCAAAGCCATCGTCATATGCCTACTTGGCCTTTGACGCACGGCCGCCCATGGCGCCAACTAGGGCATTATATGTACCCTTGGCTTTTTCTTCTTGGGCATAATGATGATGCATAGCTTCTCTAGTAGTAGGGTGGTTTTCTTCAGCGTCAAGTATCCGGTGTAGAGTTGAACAGAGCTGCAACCACACGGCGGGCTCTACCTGCAGATAACTCAGCCAGCATGGGCTCTTTTTCAAAGGCACTTAATTAAGCATTTCGTTGACAAGGTGTCTGTACTTGAATGATGGTGTTTGTATTGAAGGTCTAGCGGTTTTGTTCGCAAACCTTTAAAGATGGACTATGAATATATCTAGAGAGAGAACGAAAATCTGTAATGCCCATGTAGTCCGTGGTTCACGTCAGGTAGGCGCGAGCCTGGCGTGGCGCCTCCGTTCAGCCGCTGAAAGGACGACTTGATTTGACACAATTTCTGTATTTTGGTGGTGCTTGACGGTCGCTTTGGGCAGTTGCAGGCTCGGTGTTGTTGTTGTTACTTGCTGCTGCGGCGGCAATTCGCGTATTCCTCAGCAGAGCAACCGGGTTGAACGCATTCAAAGTTCCCAGAAATCAGGGTGGCCGTGTAGCCAAGAGGACACCCTTCATCCTCGCTGATAGGAGCGACTTGATAACGCTTGTCGCAATCACACGCATTCTGCGAGTTTTGGGCCGGTGAAGCGCTTGCAGAGCCTAGCGCGGCGGCGAGGAAGAGGATGGCGACCTTCATTTTGGAGATGAAATGGTGATGATGTCAAGTTTTATTTAATACAGTTGATTGTAGATATAAGAATGATGCAGTAAGTGTCCAGCTTTGGGGGGCAGTCGAGCTATTTAAATACTTGGGATGTCCTCTTCCGCAAAGTCTCGTCGCTTATTCTACCCACATCCCGACTCGTCGTCAAGAAACCATCTTCCCCCGGCGGCATTTATTCCACTACCTGGTTCAGTGTGGAGCGGTGGCGACTTGCATTGCTATTACAATAATACGACAGACATATAGGTGATTATACGCCTGTGAGTCGGAGACTACGGGATTGGGATTCAGATACAATACATTCCAACCCCTGTTTAATGAACCACCCGTGACTTCACGGGGGGGTACTCAGCGAATACAGAGTTGATATAAGTTATTAAGAGGAATTGGGGGGGGATAAGCACCTGAGTTTGTAAGAGAAACAATACAAAACCTCGCATCCTTGCCAAGATTTATGAGTGCTCTTATTACTATTCGTACAAAACACTGAGTGCACATGAATTGTCAATTGTTTACCATGGGAGCGGCTGGTCAGAGTAGTTGGTCTGGTGGGTCAAACCACGCTTTGATATCCAGCCACGCCACTCATTCCCGTATTGTATCCAAGCATCCAACCCCATCGTCTCTGAAATTGTGCCTCGGATTATGACCGAGTCCACTTTATGGATTCATCGGCTTCAATAGGCGCGGTGGCTCTCGGCCGGAATACGGAGGAATTCTTGGCCAACGTATTCCTAGGAATTTGCATTAGGCTCACGCCACATGATGCCATGTTGTGGTCTCGCCTGCTTAAATTCAAACATGAATGTATTGCTGCCGTTGAGGGCTCATGGCACGCTGCCGCTACGTCGGCCCATCCAGTCTAGCACTGGCTAGATTCATGCCAAAGGGCGGCATGAAGAACCTGACGTCACATTGATATGTTCCTCGGGCTTGTCTTATGCCGAGGGTCCCGAGCCGCAATGACTCTCTAGCTATTACGAGGTTTAAAGGATCGATATAAGTATATACATTATAATATATTAAATATATTCATTAAAAAATAACTTGTTCTTAACTTATTTAAGATAATTAAAAAATAGGCTAAATAAAGGGCATCTAATAACAATATATTTTAGCCGTACCTAAGCTAGGAGACCGTAATTAACCACGTAAGCTACTATAAACGTATCGCGATACGTCAAGTATATTAGCCGATTAGTAATTTTATAGCGCGCGCCAGTAAAGGCTACTACGAGATAGCTTTAGCTATTAATTGCGTGGAGTAAAATATAATTTATGCTGGTAACTTACACTAAAAAGTTAAACATAAACGTATAATATACATGTAGGTTTTATAAGGGAAAAGTTATAAATATCTATAGGTGGGTGTAATAGAGTTAATTTAGTATATACATAAATAAAAGAGAAGCTAGCTAGCTATAATTCCTTATATAATTTTAAATCTTATTTTAAACAAGTTAACAATTAGAATTATTAATTTTTAAGAAATAATAAGTTAAAAATTATAATTTATTATTTTTAATGTTATATTTAAGTTTTAATAATATTAATCAAATAAACTTATTTAAATTACCTCAGTAACTACTAGTAAATTCCAATACTATCAGCCAACAGGGCCCAGCCACAAGATCGTGGCTCATTCCGCCAGAGGGGTGGCCACATAAACCCTGCCTTAACCTTTGTGCAATTGGTCCTGGGACAGTGGGGGGCTCCCGGGTTGAGCCGTATAATATGGTATTGAGTAAATGTAACTGGCCGTCAGGCCCGCGAACTGGGTCCTCTCAGCCCTGGAGGTTACGACATGTCTGGTAATAAAACACTTTACCCCGCTATGCTGATGCGATGGCACCAATTGGCAATGATAACCCCCTCCCTATACGGCCCTAGGATATTTTTGAGACGCTCCGAGATGTCAACTGATACGACTGGTATAAAACCTTTGGTGAAACTTACCCCCGCACATCTGTATGCTGATGCGAAGGCACCAATGATAGCCCTCTCCGTATACAGCCCTAGAATACTGTGGAAACTTTACTGTAGTCGAATGATATATACATTGATTATCGCAGGCCCGTGGTGGTGATGGCTGGCTTCACCCTCACAAAAAGCTCTTGCGGAGCAATCGCGGCATTAACACGGTATCTGCGGGCACGCTTCATTCGCCTCAGTTCGGCCTAGTGCCTACTAATGCTCCCACGAGGACAATTGCTAACCTCCTGCATCACATCATGTCTCGGTAAAGAATCACGACATGTCCTATGCAAGAGGCAACATTGACCGGAAGAATCGGTAATGTTTTTTGAGTTGAGGCGTGGTGAGAAAATGCTCGTGGGATTGAGACTCGGGAAAGACTCTCTTCGGACTGGGAAAGGCTCTCTTCGGACTAGGAGTGGCTGACAATATCGACCGGAGGAACTAGTCCGAGTGGGATTGTCCTTATTCGTTTGAACCCCAGTCTTGTGCTAAAGTATATAGTTAAACAGACTACTCCCCGCCTTCAAGTCTCTCGGACAGCGCCATTATCCTCAAGCAAATGTCCCATCCTAGTACAAGTTTGTTCAACCTCACTCTTCCAATCTTTGCGCATCATGGCCACTAAGCTTCTCACCGCGCTAGCTCTGACCACCGGGGTCATTTCGGCTCCTGCCGCCCTGACGAACTTGCAAAACGTCGTCTTTGGCGATAGCTACTCGGATGAAGCTCGCCATGTCTACATCGACAGTCATGAGAGCTTGCCCCCAGAAGGCTAGATGCTTCCTGAAGCTGATAGTCCGTTCAGTGGAGGCCGTATATGGGGGCGAGTGGTCGCCAAAAACACCGTTTATACGCTTTGGATCGGCACAAACGACTTGGGTCAAGATGGCCTTCTCGGAAGGGAGGCTAGTGATTCAAAAAAGAAGAACACCGTGGACCCGACCTCAACAGTTGACGATTATCTGAAATGTGTCTGGGACGCCATTGACCAAAGTTACAACGCAGGCGCCAGAAACTTCGTCTTGTTTAAGCTAGTACCTCTCGAGAAGGCACTTCTATACGCCAATTAAAAATCAAAGGATGGATTAAGCGCGGACGTCAATAATGTTAATGGATAATACGATCAAGCTGTTGAGTCTAGGACCAAGGAAGGAAACTGAGCAGGAGCAACTGTTACCATCTCCGATGCCTATTCGCCCGTTTCGGATGTTATCGCTTCGCCCAGCGCTTTTCAGCTTACCCAGGTGCCCGCGCCGTACAAGACCTGCAAAGGAACCGTCTGTCAGAAGGCCAGCGACCCCCAGTCGAACTACTTGTGGTAAGTTATATCAAGTCCTCGGCACCTTTGTAAGAAACTGGAATAACCATCTAAAACAAAATGCAGAAATGACGCCCTCCACCTTTCACCCGCCGCGGAACGACTCATCGCCAGGGAGTTCCAGCTCGCTATTAAGGGTGTTTCAAAGTATGCCAAGAGCTATGCCAGCTCAGCCTAAGCGGTTGTGACGTCAGCACGTCCGGGAACTTGACTTGGTATAAACCTCGCTCTGGACAAAGACAATGCAGTCGTTGTACCGGGTCAGGGCTCTCACATTTTTATATGCCCGCCACTAAGGGTACTTGGATAGCAGGCGATAAGCCTAGACTTTATCTAGTATTACTTTCTTTACTGCCCGTCAGCGACTAGGTGGGACGAGCCATTTAGTTGCCAACGGGTAGGTGATTTCTACAATTGACTTATTAAACTTGAGCTCTGTTTTATTTCCAAGGTCCTTGTGCAAGTTAGTCAATCTTCCTTTAATAGTCTAAGCCCGCCGAAGAACAACACGTTTGGATGGTAGGATTTTACTTACCGTCACTACTATGACACATCCAGTACGATATAGTAAATCACGTGGCAATAAGTCACGTGCCGGATTGTGTACGACAGCCGGTGCAGACGATGGAAATCTCGGAATAGCTTCAATTAGCCGTGCACAGTTGAAATTAAGCTTTCATGGGACCACACAAATAACTTGTACAAATGTACCAGGTTATCCATAGAAAGGTGGGCCCGGTACGGTGGTGCTAAAAGCGCTAGAGGAGGAACAAACCCTCCCCTTTTCTTTGCCTTGAAATGGAGCGTCAGAAATCACGGATGAGAACGTCGGTGGCAACAACCTCACGAGCTGGACCAAAGAGTTCGGCTCAGCCGTCAATTAGGGACAACCTCGCCCTATTTTTAACTTGGCGGCACCTCGCGCTCCGAAAATAGAAGTTGAGGGAATCTGATGCCATTTTACGTCTGCTCGCGCATACATGGGCATTGCAGACGGCCGTGTGCTTGGCTGTACGCTTTCGTCCGAAGGCAGCCTCGTTCGGTCCGAAGTACCCCGTAATCAACTGATGCCTTTTCATCCCATTTAGCCCATTTCCCGCCGTGCGTAGCTTAGTAATAACTACCTACCTAGGTAGGTACCTGGTGGGTAGTGTCTGACACGCGACGCGACGACCAAAGGGGCGCCTCCGCCGCAACTCATTTGGCGCATCGACGCCCCCGGGCCCATCATGGCAGGGCTGCACAAGGTGAACTGACGGTAAACACAAGCCAATGTTGCACCGTTTATTACATGCGTCCTCGTTCAATGGCACAGCATGAGCCGGTCGGTGGCGGCAATCTTCAGTGGACGTGAGAGCACTGCGCACGGCCTACTCCGTAGAAGAAGACAAACAGGATGGGGCGGGCTCAGCGCTATCGACAACGGGAAGGCGCTAATGGCCATGGCAGGGACCGGGAAAGTGCCCGTGTCGCGCTTTCCTCCAACCGTAAAAAGTACGGGAGCAACTTATCTGATGGATGCAGTCAGATTTCCTCGTGTCCAACCAAAACACCACGACTGGGCCATGGTTTTCTGATTCTCATTGTACTGTCTCCATCTTCATCCAGCCCGGCGACAACGCGACGGTACGAGCAGCTTCATTCCATCGCTCGGCCGTCATTTTCACCATCAGCGTCTTCCCGTGCTGCCAAAAGTGTGATGGGCGTAGGACGCATTCAATGCTTGGCTGGGCCTGGGGACGTGAGCAATTGCGGCCATCGTACCACAGCCCACCACAATTAATTGGAACCCACACCTCCTACCGAGTAACTACTGATATGTACGCACGCAGCCCCGACACCCCGGTTCACTCTCACGCGCTTGTGCGTCTCAGGCCTGCCGCTGCCGCTTGCTGACAGGCACTCTCACAGTCTGAGTTTGATGCGGCCTCAGGACGGGCCCGTCACCCAATCTTGGTCCTTCTCCGCTGGTCCAGCTCCATCCAAACCCAGCCCCTGTCCAAGCTACCGTTCGCTCAATTGATGCGAGAGTAACCAAGCCAACGCTCCATTTGTTGCATTCGTGTCTCAAGCGGCCTCTTGTTCTCCCCCCGTCGGCTATCCCACGCCTCCCATTGTTCAGTCACGACCGTACATTTTCCCGGTCCACTCCCGGTCTGCTACTTTTTCATCCTCTTCCTCTCCATACACACCTTTCGACAGGAGACCACGTCGGCGACCGTCGTTTGAACTACGAAACAGGCACGCCGGCTTGTTGCGAGCCTTCGACTCTTGTTTGGCCGCCGTCGATTCGGTTCGTCTTCAATTGCCCTCGACCTTGGTGTGTTGTCACCGCCACCTCGCGTCCGAGTCGGAGCCGTAGTTTGACAGGTATGTTTGCAACTTCAACGGCTGCTTAGTAGTACCGCGCCAAGTTTCGCCGTTGCACTGCTTCCTTCATGTCCGTGCCAGCGTTACTATAAGCCCATACTGCTGTCTTCTCAAACGGGCATTTCGTCTCTTTTGCCGTTTTTATCCCCGCAAACTAAATTCGTGTTTGCCAGTCCATGCCCAGCTCTCTTGTTTCCCCTTTTTCCATGGTCTTGATCAGGACGTCGGGCATGGTTCCAACGCTGCAGTGGTGGCAATCAACGCCTCATCCTGCTAACGGTCTTGATATTAGGCAGATTTACGAGTTGACTCTTCGCGCTTCCAACATGTCTGACACTTCCCGTGGCTCGGGTGCCCAGACCAGTGGCCAAGAGACCTCATCGGGACAGTCACCGGGACAATCACCAAGCTCTCCGCCCTCGTCGCCCCCAAATACGACATCTAGTTCATCTCCGCCGCCATCAACATCATCACCGTCGCCGTCGCCATCGCCGTCGTCGTCGTCGTCGTCGTCGCCGCCGCCTGCGACCACAACGTCAAGTTCCTCCTCGCCGCCACCAGCACCAGCACCTACCACTTCCTCATCATCATCTTCTAGTACGCCTCCGCCAGAGACACCAGCACCATCTCCTACGCCTACTTCTACGTCTACGACGTCAAGCACACCCGCGCTGGCACCAACAACTCCTACTCCCGAGCCTACGATATCCAGCTCAGCGGTTGTAACTGTTACGCCTTCTGCTTCATCGACAACTACTAAAATTGTCGTGTCTACGACAACGCCGACCGCGGGACCGTCGTCTACTTCTGCAAGTGTATCGAGTAGTTCCACTGCTACGCCTATCAACCCGGCCGGCGATGGAAGTAGTGGTGGTCTTAGCCAACCAGCCAAGGTTGCCATTGGAGTAGTTGTACCTATTGCTGCAATTGCTTTGTTGGCGCTGGTGGGCTTGTTCTGGTGGCGGAAGAGGCGGGCTCGCCAGGAGTCCGAAGAGGAACGCCGCAAGGAGGTCGAGGACTACTCCTACAATCCCAATGCCGACCCTACAATTCCAGCTGTCGGTCTGGGTACTGATACGTACGAGATGCGGGATGAAGGCGGGTCGGGATACCGTGGCTGGGGCTCAACTACTGCAGCAGGTTCCATGGGCCGTAAAGCTTCAACCACAATGTCTGGTGGCATGACTGCCGGCGCCTTCTCGGATGGCGGCGGACATACCCGTGGAAACCCTTCCGAGACTATAACCGACCCTACCATGGATGGCTCCTCGTCTCCGGACGGCGAAATACTTGGTGCCATGGGTCCTTCAGCCGCAAACAATCGAGGTGGTGATGTTCACCGTGGCCCATCAAACGCTTCATCTTCCTACAGCGCTACAGGTCGATCTGAGGGCTCAGACGTCGGAATCTACGCTAATGGCGGTGGTTATTATGACCAGTATGGCCAGAACCCTTATGCGGACCAGAGGCCCCAGGAGCTTGGCGGCCAAGCTGTCATTAGGGATAACCCAGCACGACGCAACACTCGTATCGAGAATCCGTCGCATTACCCTCAGCAGAGTGCTGGTATTGCCCAAAACTTTTGAGGCGCTTCGCATCGTTTCAGACCTTTATCAACACTTGGTGGCTGTGTTTACTATATCCATCCACCGTCCATAGAGATACCCAAGCCTAGCATTCTCTTCAACACTTTTCTTACACTGCGAGACTACGATTATATAAGGGAAACCTACAGTCGAGCTGAATGGGGGCTTCTAGGCTTTTGAATATTTGGTGCTGGCATTTCATTGGCATCTACCATTCTTCAGCCAGTTCATTCTCGATTGAAGCAACTTTAATGATGGCATAACTTTCTACAGTACAATGGGCACGTAGCGGCGATTTAGAGCAAGCCGCAAACAAAATCGGGGTATTGAAGCGGAATATTCGACAACATGCAGCTTCGCACACTTGAAGTTTTCTTTTACACAACTGCCTCAGCACCCAATGAGGACATGTACATGTACATAATACTCTATCGAAACAGCGGCTTTCACGTTTTCTATCTCGAGAAGTCTTGATTTTTTATGTGGGAAAAACATATCATACCTATTACTACCTTTAACAGCGAAGCAGCGAGGGAAGGAAGGGCGGGGGACATAATGCGGAGGACGTCATTCGTTTGGCCTGTAATGAGATGGATTCGTCGTGTATAGAGGAAGAGTTTGGTTTTATATTTCTGAGCGGGATGGGCTGCAAGCAGGACAGTGACGCTGTCCGTGTATATATGGATTGGTAGTTGCATCAATTGATACAGTAGACTTGGTTGAAAGTGTTGTGTCAGGTGCGACAGTTGCGCAAAAAGAAAAAAAGGAAAAAAAAAGGAAAAGGAAAAGGAAAAGGGAGATAAGAAAGCGTCTTCCCTTAAGAATCCATTATATATAATATGGTGACGGCATATCCTGCGCTCTCAACACAAGCTCTACCTTGGTGTCTCTGCGTGGTGAAAGTCATATTCTACCCAAGCTCTATTCCCTATATTGTCCGCGCACGCCCATCCCTTGACTCTATTCCATCCTTTCCCACCAAAACTTACACTGAGCCATTTCCTCGTCGGTCAAAATCCCCTTGCGCACAGCTACGCCCTCACTCTTGCCGCCGGCAGCCTCGTCATTGCCCTCTCCAAACACCAGCAACTCCCGGCCTCCCCGCCCGTCCCCAATGGGCTCTGAAACGTCGGCCACGACCCAATCTCCCCCGTCGGCGAAGCCACAAACTCGGCCCAGCGAGACGTCATCTCCTCCGCCGCGGCCACCAGCCCCGGCCGAC